CTAAGTCGAGAGAAAAGCCAGCATAAACTACTGAACTTCAGTGCTTTTACACTATATATGTATACGATAATGGATAACAAACTAGATCTCATCATTATCTTAATCATAACTTTAAAAAGTATATTACTCATAACAAATGAAGATTTTAGTTTTTCTTAAAATTATGTAGTATTTTCTTAGTCCATGAACTGATGATAGCAGATTTGTGAGATTCTGTATTGATTGAGAAACCTCTACATTTTTATTCAACTATCTAGTGGTTGTATTATCAAGAAAACAAGCTTCTGAAGAGTGCAGATGAACAACTGCAATATATCTGCATATTCTCAAGTAAAAAGAGAGATTCATTCTCTAAATCCTGGACTTAATACCATCTTCTTGTTAGAGGAAGCAAGGCAGAATACTCATAGTCAAGCAAGTAGTTTCTTTGGTATATAACATAAAACAAAAACTCCAGTTTAATCTGTATTTGAAATGACACAATTTTCAAATTCATAATGCAAATTAAGGTATTTTTATCAAAAATTAGCTCAGTAATATGACTGAGGATAAAATTACTAAATTCTAGTAATCTGATTAATAATATATTGGTATTAAACACATACTGCAAATAAGTACTAAGCAAACATAAAATTAAAATTAGATTCCTTTCCTAAAATAGCAATATTAACCTCTGTATTTCTAATAATTACAATATGGATTCAGTCTTATTTGTTATGTTTACCTCATTGGTTAGTCTATGAAGATTCTCTTCTGCCAATTTTATACTTGACTTCATGCTCAAATTACTTCTTTCAAGTATATGATCTGTCGTTGAGCACAGATGCATGCCATCTGCAGTCTAACCATCTCCAGTCGTCGCTCCCCAAGGATTTTTTCATTTTCACAAATAGATGGTGTTTGTATATCTAAAAGTTGAAAATCCTCTTCATTTGAACTTTCAACTACTTCATGTATACCCTGAAAGAATTGCTTTTTTGTATATAAGGTTAAGGCTGCTGTGCTCTGCTCTTCTTGGCTTATATATTTTCCCAAGGAAAACTGAGATAAAAACACCATTGGATTTGTCCTTTCACTTAAATTAGAATTTCTAAAGAATATCATCAAATTATTAATTCTATCAGTAAGAACCTTAAGCTCATTACTGAGTTTAGTATTCACAGTATTTAGGAACCATTGTTTTTGTTTCAGCTTCTTGGTGGCTTCCTCTTGTTTAGCATTTAATGCCAGAGACTTGTAGCTAGTTTCAGAAGCCATTAACTGGTATTTATTCTGTCGCTGAATTTTTGAGTTATTTAATTTCTGCAGCGTTTGAACCTCATCCTCTAATTTCTGTATTTCTTTGTCATCCACTTCACATGTTTTCAAATCAAAAGTTTTACAGGTTCTAAGAACGTCAACCAATGCTGCTCCTTCTAGGATGGGCTTGCCTGATCGATGAAGATCGCTGAAAGCTTCCAATTCTTTTTCAGACAATATATTCTGTTCATTCACATTCCCACAAAACCATTTCAAAAATGACTCATCTTCAACAGCCTCAAACAGCCAGTCAAAATCTTCTCCATTAAGAATATCAGCTTTGGGATAACCAATCTTTTTCAGTGTTTCCACAAACTCATTTCCACAACTCATGGTTTAACTACTCCTGTTTTTTATATTTGATAGGAATCTATGGTTTCTGAAAACTAAGTTCAAACAGAAAAAAACATGTTTAAGTCCATAAAAGAAAGAAAAACATACAATCTGTGTGTTTTCCTAGTGGAGGGAAGAACACAAGTATTAGACCGCAAACAAGTCAAATGCATTTTAAATATACAGATAATTTTATCAGATGACATAAGCAGGCTACTTAAGTGAAAGGCAGATAGATGAAGGTGCAATATCTGACGAAAACAAAGAAAAACAGAAGCAATCAGGGTGTTGCATAAGACATTACAACAGTAATGAAGAATCTAATTAATGAAGATATAACAATTTAAAAACCTGACTTTTTCCAATGATAAAATTACTTAAAATAAACTACATTTTGTAAAATAGTTGTTTTCCCCTGTCATTTCTAGTTAGGAGAAAGAAATATGCCTAACTTTCTAAGGAAGAGTTTGAAATACTTACCTCAATCAGCGTCCATTAGGTTCAAAGGACTCGATCTATAGATATAACCAGCCTAATGCAGAGAAACCAGGACAAGTTGACAAGTTTCAGTACCCATCAGTCATCAAGTAAAAAGTTTTATTTTGACCAGAGCACAATGAACCACGATTTGAGCCAAACGAAGGTTAGTGACAATGGCAAGTTTTAAAATCACGACGTTTCACACTCAGGTAGCAACATTTCTGGGTTGGTTTTTGTTTGTTTCTGAGTACCTACACTTAAGAGCTCTAATAAAACATACCCACAAAAGTACCGAATTGCTGTTTTTAAAAGATGGATAACAGATAAGGGTATATTTCAGGTTTAACGTTTGCCTAATACGATTAAGGCCTTGAGTTTCAGCCAACTCCAGCCGGATGACCGGCCAAGCACCTCCACTCCAACTCCCGGCACGAAGCCTCAGCCTCTCCGCACACCCCACGCCGGGGCCCAACGGCCTCACGTAGGCTGTAGGAGGGTAGCAGCGGCCCCGCCAGTCCGGAACGCAAGCCCCTTACCTCAGGAAGCCCCTGGCACTGCCATCCGCCGGGATCCAACCGCGCGCGCCGCAGTGCCTCACGGGAATGCTGGAATACGCACGCGCAGATTACAATACCCGTAATGTTTGAGCAGAGGGCGGGGTATCCCAGAGAAGGAGAAGGAGGAGCCGCTGACCAGCCCCCTTCAAGGAGCCAGGGCAAAGTGATTGGTTCTCCTGCCAGACGCTCCTCCCCTTTAACCCTGCCTCTATCCCTCGCCGACCTTTCCCGCTAGGCTCAAGAGGATTGGTTTTCTCACTAGAGACTCTGTCCTCGCCCCCGCCCTGGAGTTGGAGTCTGGGTCTCTTCCGGCTGCAGGCTGCTACAACCATTCAGGCCTGTCTAGTTCAGTTAGGCCTCCTGTCCTAAATATGGTTTGCAGTCTTTGACACTACTAGGGGACCGGAAGCCTGAGGCCAAACACATCTCTCCTACCCTAAAAGCTCTTACCACCACCACTACCCCGGTAGGGTGACCCAACGAGTTGCTAATAACAAGGTCAGTAGCTGGGTCCCTATCAGGTCTCTTGCAGAGTAGGATTGTTAGCTATGGAATCTTTTACAATGGTTATTTAGCAAAAATCATTTAACTCCCAAGGCCTCGATGACTTCCAAGCAAAAGCTGACTTTCTCCAAGATCCCATCCTCAAAATATCAAGGTGTAAAGTACATTAGTTTTGTAATGCATTCAACTCAGAAGTACAGATATTCTGAGGATGCTAGGATGCCAGCCCTCATTCAATGAAAGACAGAATGCTGAACTAAGGCTAAGTCTGATGCAAGCCTAGTTAATGTCCTATGGTCCCAGAAAACTGACCTTTGGAGTTACAGTTAGCATTGGTAGCAACTTGTCTGTATGGGTCATAATCTGTTCATTTTTTTCTATCAGACAGCATTTGCAACTTACTAATCTCTTGTAAAATGACATATAAGGTCTGGGCTATGATCATTAAAAAATAGTACTCCCCTCCTCCAGTCACAAATAGGGTGATGTTTCAGACATGGTTCTAGTCTAGTTACTACTAGGTAGAATTCTTTCTGGATCATTTTCCCCAGGCTTGTTTTGTGAGACAAGTATTTGCTTCATGCCCCAGGCTGGGATTGAACTCAAGATCCTCCTACTTTAGCATCTCCCAAGTGCTGGGGTCACAGGTATGAATTACCATGCCCAGCTATTAACGTTTTCAAAGAGAGAAAAACTAATATTCTAGGCAGATCATTTAAATTTGAGTGGAAGACATTTACTATTAATTCTTTTTTTTTTCCAGAGCTGAGGACCGAACCCAGGGCCTTGTACTTGCTAGGTAAGCGCTCTACCACTGAGCTAAATCCCCAACCCTTACTATTAATTCTTATCTAACTTTTATACTCCTTTTGAAAGTCAATAAAACCTGAAAGTAAATAAAAAACAAACAGTACAGGGGAAAAGTTCTCAGAATGGTGCCTAATGGGGTTAGGAAATCAGAGGATTGGCCCAGGAGGACCCCAGATACCAAACTGGCGGTAGGGGCTCAGCAGGGAGCTGGTGTTGGCCAGAGGAAGTGCAGGCATGCTTTCAGGAAATTTTGCTGAGGTGGCAAAGACTGAGAGAAAAAGAGCCAAATGACACAAGATGAGGGGGTGAGAATGCAAGGCTGAGAGGATTTTTGGTGTTGTTTTGTTTTAAAGTGGGAGGAACTGGAGGATATTTATAGACTGTGCGGAAGAGCTTGGAGGAGACAGAATTAAAGATGCCAGAAAGACAAAGCGCTACTCTTCAGGATAAGGTTCCCCCCAGGCACAACCTGGAACTCTTGGGACCTTCTTAGTGACTTCTGGCCCCCAGCCCTCCATCTTGAATTGCTGACCACAGTTATTTGTTTGAAAGGTGTTTGTAAGGCCGTAAGAAGCCATAAAAACATAAAAGATTAGAACAGGAGCAGCCCCCTGAGTACTAACAGCAAACACAATGGGGTTAATTATACAGAACTGGAAAGTTTTCTTGGGATTGGATTAGAAATTTAAGAAGGCAAGTATGTTAAACTTATGTCCAAGACAAGCTTGCTCTCTTCTACTCAAAATCAGTTGTGGTTTTAGTGGGGTCAAAAGGTAAAGGGGACTGAGGAGCTGATCGTTCCTAAGCAAGCCTGTGGGAGTGTAATAGACGAAACAAACCTAACTGCAGGACCATGAGTCTTCTCTGTTGGCCTTACTCTCCTGTCATCAATATTAGAAATTATTTGTTTTTTATATAGTATCTTTTCAGACAGTTTTAAAACTTTGTATACAATTGTGACGTTAAAGGTTGGTTTTGGATGCAGTTTAATGGAAGTGAAGAGATCTATTCTCCAGACAACACAGAGAGGAGAGTGACAGCCTCAGACAGGTGTTAGCTTGATTCTGCAAAAAAAAAAATTGTTTTAAGTCATAAAAGGTCTGAGAAACCTGGTACTGGGCAATTCAGGAATGGGTAAAGGCAAGGGAGCCCCCAGGAGCTGGCAGAACCCTGGGGGGCCATCAGCCAGTGAGATGTGGACTGGCAGCTTCCTCCTATTGGTCTTGTTCTTCCAGAAGAAAATTGACTTTTCTTAAGACCATAGAGTTGGGGGAGGGGAGATTTGCTTTTCATTGTATTAAGACTCAAGTGATGAAGATGAAAACTCAGTACGAAATCCAGAAGCATTTGGGTCTTCACCACTAGGAAGGGATCACAATAGTGGTGAGTAGAGACAGGGGTCTTTGGAGCTGGAAGCTGGTAGCAAGTGGCCTGGGAGAGTTTAGGGGTCCAGGACCTCATGTTGCCTGCGAGGCTTGATCAGTTGAGGAGGAACTGGGATGAGAGCCCATCCTTGCCTGCACCTCCCTTCCCAGGCTAGTGGCCTAACTCTAGAACAATCCAGAGTTCCTGTGCCCTAACTTTCTGGCTAAAGATTGGGAAAAGAAGACGACATAAAATGTCCCACTAGCAGTTAGTCCAGATTAGCCCAGCCTCTAATTTATACAGCCATCATCTCAGCAAAAGTGTGTAAAGGGACAAAAGAGGAAAAGGGACAAAGGACTTGGGACCACTTGCAAAGGCAGCTGGGCTTGAACTAACCGTGAGATCCAAAATGAGATTGTAAGGACAAAGCTGAGTAGAACGTAGGCTGGGTTGAGGTGAAGGACAGGAGACAGCAGGCATCTGAGGTTAACTCTGGGGAGGAAAAGGAGGAGCAGCAGAAAGGCCATCTTGGAACCACTCTAGCAAGGGTTAGGATTCATGCAGGGGTCTCAGATAGGGGCAAACATGGAGGGATATAGAGATAGGCTCTGTGTGAGTGGGGATAGAAAAGCTATGGAAGGAGTGCCATAGCTTTGAATTTCCTACCCATGAGATGGACCCTGCAAGACTGTAGTAGGTGCTAATTATGCAGTGTTTAACACAGATCATGGCACCCACTGCTCCCAATAGGAAGCAGTAGCAAGGAAGACTAAAAAAACAGTTTGGAATTTAAATGTTCACATTGACATCAACACCTAAATCATACCAATTCTGAGGTTCCAATTGTGTTCACATCAGAAAACTCCTTTTTCTCTCTGTGTTAAATTCAGCTGTCTCTAAGGCTGCCCTTCCCTTACCCTGTACCTAACAGAAGGCAGAGAAGGCAGGGATACACATTTCAAGAATCCAGAGCTGATTGTTGCCTGCTAGGGGGGACTAATCCCTCCCCAGGTTTCATGGTTCCACTTTAAAACTTTCTAGCAAGTACCACTAGGCCATCTCCAACAGGTTCTACAGAGGATTCAGTGTGGTAACATCATGCCCTCTGGAAGTCCTGATCCATGCCTTCTACGGTATTCAAGGTGGCAAATCCTTGAAGGAAAAGTCTTAGTGTACTCATCTGTCTGGGAGGACATTGAGTCCTCCAAGAACCAGAACCAGGACTCCTGCCAATGGGTTGGAGCCTCCCTGTAGACAGTGGAGTCTCAGTGACACTCTCCTGTTTTCAGTGTGTGTTCTAACAACCTTACAGCTGCCCTGAGGGCAGTTCAGAACCCTAAATCCCCATGCTAGCACTGAAACACAGCTGCCCACACTTCCACACTTCCTCATCAGTATAGGTCGTGAGGGCAGAAGCTAGGCCTGGGTCAGCTTAAGGATGCTGGGATGGACCCAAGGAGGGGTCCTTGAAGTGTAATCTGGAGACCCAGCAACTTCTCTGCAGAAGGCCAGCATAATACCCTTAAGGACTGAGCTATCTTTGTGCCCACAATGTCCTAGTTCCAGTGACAAGAACACCTAGCATAGAGTAGGCTGTATGGTACTTCCACCCAAGCCATCACACAGAGGCTATGGACCTATGGATCTGGCCAGCTTCCCGGGAAATGGAGTTCATGGACATGTGAAGGTTGATTCCTAAGGGCCAGGACGACCCTGGCTCCAGTGAGTCAGTCCCTCTAACTGAAGCTAGAGTGAAAGGAGCAGAGCAGAGAGACAGAAAGAACTAGAAACCAGAAATGAGGTATAAAAATCTGTATTTATATTACAATGACAGAATGACACAGCACAGCCCCATCTGTTAGACAGGTGGGATGGGGTCCCATTCCAGTCTGCAGCTCAGGTCTCATAACTCACCCACTGCACTGGCACCAGGCCCCTTGTGTAGCCCCTGACTCTGGCACGGAACCTGCCCTAGTGCCCTAGTTTAGAGGCCTGAGAACTTGGTTGCTGGCCTGGGATCAAGACCCTCTGTGCAGGCACAAGGGGTGAGAGGCTAACTGACCCACCAGAGGCAGGGAAGGCTTGGGGCACACAGAAGGGTAGGGGCTGTCCAGCCACAGTTTGGTGCACAACTCCATCTGCCTAGAATGGCAAGCTCAAGCACCTGCAGGTTAGAAATACAGAGGCAGGCCTAGGGCCCATATAGAGACAAAAACGTCTGTGTCCTCTCCTGCTAGACCAGGTGGGCCTGCAGCAGATGGTGGGTCTGGTGCGTCTGGATCACCTCCTAGTAAAGAGGCCCAAGCCTGAGCCTGGAGTTCCAGACTCTGTTGTAGAGCACCATATGGCTCCCATGGACAGGTACAGGTGGAGGGCACAGCAGCAGCTATTTTGGTCCAGCTTTCTTCTACAGACACACAGTAGCCTTGGCTGAATCCCATGGCTACCAGTAATGGCCATACTGTGCAAATGGCAGAGAGCAGGAGAGCGAGTAATACATATGTAACTCTTAGCACCAGCCCCCATGCCTATGGACCACCCCTCACATGCCTGCTAGTGGGAGGGGCAGCTGGCTAGCACCCCTGGGTGACTGAGGAGGCCAACTCCCAGGCTACATGGGATCCATAGCCTAAAAAGGCAAAGGGCTGAGCTGCCACAAAATTCAGCCAAGGGGGCCAATCTGGTCACCAGGAGTGGACTCTGCTGGCAGGGGTGGAAGCAGAATCTGAGGTGCTGGAGATGGAGCAGGGAGTGGATGATATAAGAATTCAGGACATATCAGGAGCCCTGGAGTTCTGGGGCCCTGAAGCAAAGCCTTTAAACAGAGCTCTCTTCTGTGCTAAGGGTGGGTGTGCTCAAGACAAATGCCTGGGGGACATGCTCAGGCAGACACTGAAGCCCCGAGTTGAGCAGAAAATGTAGTTAGAACCAGCTTACTAAGATGTTGGCTATCTTTCTATTCCAGGGACTCCTACCCAGGCCTGCTGTCCACTTGTCATTTTGAGTCCCCAAAGAACAGGTTCTATGCCAGAGTTGTTTCCAGGAACCTTATTCTGCTATCAGGAGGTCACCCACCCTAGGATGCTCACTGGCATGACTGAAGATAAACAAGAATTTTCCCCACAGTTTGGAAATCGTTTACAAATGCACCAGAGGAGGTGGCAGGTGCTGATGTGGGCTAGCCCATGGCCACTACCCAAATATTGCTGTGTGGTGCCCCTAGAAAGAAGGTCTAGTTCTGAAAGGCCAACAGAAGCCTCCTGGCCAGGCTCGTACTACTTCCAGAACTGCTATATTTATAAGCTGCCCATGGCTGACACTCCAGGCCCTTGCCCAAGTCCAGAGATAAGGCCCTATGCTAACAGGCCTGCTGTCCCGAACTTTCAAGCACAGTCACAGTGCCAGTTACCATGGAGGCACCATTGGAGGCCAGGTCATAGCCCTGCAGAATACAGGAATCAGCCGTGGGAGCCACACAGGCATGTACATGTCCTTCCCAGGAGGATGCAGCTGCTGGGAGGGGCTACCTGTAGGAAAGCAGTGAAGGGGGCACCTACCAGGAGGCCTGGCGCATCCCATAAGCCACAGGGGCATGCTGGTGGCAGTGGGTGGAGTGAGACAGGGAACACAAGGCACACTATGACAATGTGACAGAGGATGGGTCCCTGAGATGCTGGGTCACTCCCACCCGTCAGCAAACAAGGACACAACAATGGCTAGGAAAATAGAGTACAAAAATCTCATACAGGAAATAGAGGCGGCACACACTCAAGTCCCTTGGCGAGTCTTCAGAGCTTTTTTCTCTTTTTAAAAATGTTTCTTTTTGTGTTTTGGGTAAAGCCTCTGCCAGCTGAGGCTGCCCTGGGCAGGGCTCATGAGGCCCCTTCTGGGAGCTCCCTGTCACACTTTTTTTTTCTTTTTTTTTTTCTTTTCTTAAGAAAGGAAGTTGAGAAAGCTTGGAGGACCCAGTGGTTTCAGCTTGCCACCCAGCTTATTCCAGTCCCCTGCCAAGAAAAAAAGCCCTGTCTATTTCCTGTGCAGAGCAGGCAGAGCCATCTGGACTGGCCCAGGTGAGAAGGGGCCTGGGTGAGAGTCAGGAACAGGTTAGGGGCCACCATTTCCAAGTGACCTCAGGCCAACTATCCCAAGACATACATTCTCAGACGTCCATGTGTATTTGTGCTTGTGGGTGTGAGCCTAGGCATGTGTGTATACATCTGATGGTCCTAAAAGAGCAGAAGCCACCCAACTTGGTTTGAGGTGGTCCAGCCAGACCCCAGGAGCATCCCCATGGTTCCTGACACCATGGAAAAGGAGGCCACCCACCAGATGCTCATCCAAGTCCTGCCCTTCATAGATCCCTCTGTCGACACCTCAGAAGATCATGTGGACCAACAAGTAGATGGATAGATGGATAGACGGACAGCAACACCTTCCTGCCTCCCTTCCTTCCTTTCTTCCTTCCTTCCTTCCTTCCTCAGTCCACTCCTCTCTCCTGGGATCCGATGTTGGGGTTCAAGCTCCCCATTGTGGTCATTAAGGCTCCTACACGGATCCTTCCGAGATTTGTAGAAATGATATTTAATACTTCTGGAATGATTAGGAATCTGAGAACAGATTGTGGGTGGCTACGCTGGGCTCCAGGATACGAGAGCCTGACCCTGCTTCCCTGCATGGGGTCTTGCCCTGCGGA